TGTTGGTGGGAGAGTAATGGGGGAAAGTCAGGAAAGAGGGAGGCCAGGGAGGGCAGGAGGGTAAGAAGCTGGGGTTCAGGGGGGAGGCTGTGGAGGTGTCTGGCAGGGAGTTTGGGAGAAGGGACCTGGGAGGGCTGTGTGTGGTTGGGAATTAGCCTGGTGTTGATGCTGGGATTGCAGTGGAGCAGGGACCTCCGCCCTGTGGATTGATGTCTGCGTTGTGTTCTTTAAGGTCAAAGAGAACAACTACCGGGGCCATGGCGACAGTGTGGACCAGCTCTGCTGGCACCCCAGTAATCCCGACCTGTTCGTCACTGCCTCTGGGGATAAAACCATTCGCATCTGGGATGTGAGGACCACCAAATGCATTGCCACCGTGAACACAAAAGGTGACGGTTCAAACAGGGCCTGAGGTGAACAGCCACTCACCGGATGTGAGGTCCAGAGACCCTGATTTAATGTGAGGAGAAAGGTGGATGGGTATTAGCATAAGTGAAGATGAGAGTCAGGTTCACACCTATAATTCCAGCTACTCAGGAGGCTGAGATCTGAGGATTGCAGTGTAAAGCCAGACCTGGCAGGAAACTTCAGGAGACTCTTATCTGCAATTAACTACCAAAAAGCTTGGAAATGGAGCCGTGGTTCAAGCGGGTAGAGCGCCAGCCGAAGTTCTGATAGGTTAGAATGGGGGCAGCTTGGAGGGTGTGGTGATCTGGAAGGAAACGGTGAGGAAGGCTTTTTCTTTTTGGTCGGTGGTGGGGCTTGAACTCAGCCTAGGCACTGTCCCTCAGCTCTTCAGCTCAAGGCGAGCGCTCTACCACTTGAGCCACAGCACCACTTCCGGTTTCCTGGTGGTTCACTGGAGATAAGAGTCTCATGGACTTTCCTGCCCTGGGCTGGCTTTGAACGGCGATCCTCAGATCTCAGCCTCCTGAGTAGGATGACAGGCGTGAGCCACCGGTGCCTGGCAGGATGAGAAAGCTTTGTATCACATTTATTGGCTGTTCTTGCTGGATATTATCCCTATCCCGCCACTCATGAGATCACTGATAGTCATTGATTCGAAGATGTCTTTGATTGGAAGACGTGCCAATATTTTATGTGTCTTAGGGAAAGAAAATTGTCAGATAACCATGCTTCACTAAAAACTTGGGAGATCTCTCCAGGTATTTACTTGTTTACTCTTGCTGCTGGTACTGGGCTGATTTTTTTTTTTTTTTTTGGGTCCAGTCATGAACTCTGGGCCTGGGTGCTGTCCCTCAGCTCTTCAGCTCAAGGTTAGCACTCTACCACTTGAGCCATAGTGCCACTTCTGGCTTTTTGATTTTTTTTTCCCTTGAACTCAGCTTTTGCTATCTTAGCTTTTTTTTTTTTTTTGCTCCAGGGTGGTGCTCTTACCACTTGAGCCACAGCACCACTCCTGGCTTTTTCTGTCGATGTGGTACTGAGGAATCGAACCCAGGGCTTCGTGCATGCTAGGCGAGCCCTCTACCACTAAACCCTGCGTCTGGCTCCCCAGGGGAAAACATTAACATCTGCTGGAGTCCCGACGGGCAGACCATCGCCGTGGGTAACAAGGACGACGTGGTCACCTTCATCGACGCCAAGACGCACCGCTCCAAAGCAGAGGAGCAGTTCAAGTTCGAGGTGAACGAGATCTCTTGGAATAATGACAACAACATGTTCTTCCTGACCAACGGCAACGGCTGTATCAACATCCTCAGGTGAGGGAGGGGCTCCCGCACCAGCCCGGGGTCTGTGGGGGTTAGCCAGGAGCCCTCCCTGAAAGGACTTCACAGATAAATGGTCATCAAAAAGTCCTCCCTAGCTGGGCACTGGTGGTTCACACCTGTGATCCTACCTTCTCAGGAAGCTGAGATCCAAGGATCGTGGCTCCAAGCCAGCCTGGGCAGGAACGTCCATGAGACTCTGATCTCCCATGAACCACCAGAAAACAGGAAGTGGGGCTGTGGCTCAAGTGGTAGAGTGCTCGCCTTGAGCTGAAGAGCTGAGGGACAGCGCCCAGACCCACGACCAAAAAAAAAAAGTGCTCTCTTTCATCGGGCGCCTTTGAGCTAGATATGCACCGAGTCCTCTGTATCTTTGACTTCAGTTCTCATGGAAATTCCAAGGAGTCGTTGCATCTTGCTTTTAGAACTCAGGGCCTCAGCACGCTTGCTTATTAGCCTTTTTCTGCTCTGCCACTTGAGCCACTTCTGGCCTTTTGCTGGCTGATTAAAGATTAAAAAAAAAAAAAAGTTTCATGAGCTCACCTACCCAGGCTGGCTTCAAAGCGTGATCTTCAGCTCTCAGCCTCCTGAGTAGCTGGGATGGCAGGCGTGAGCATCTGGCTCTCAGATGAAGATCTGAGCTTCAGGGAGCTTAAGCCACTAGAGCTGTACACACCTCGAGTTCTGGCAGATTGGACGCCCCTAAAGCCCCAGCTTCATCTCAACAAATAAGCTTGAGTACAGTGGTGCATGCCTGTAGTCCCAGCTGCGTGAAAAGGGCAGGTAAGAAGATGTTGGTTTGAGGCCAGGTCCAGGCTCAAAGTTTGAGACCATTATCTAAAAATTTACTAAAGCTAAAAGAGTCTGGGGGGTGTGAATCAAGTGGTAGAGCACCCACCTAGCAACAGTAAGACTCTGAGGTCCAACTCAAGTATATGGTACTGCATATTTGTTAGAATATGCAGCAGTTACATCTTATATGCCTTTGGCCATCTGTGGCTTGTAAAGAACCTGTACTTTTGGGGATGATGTAATTTTCTTGCGCCCAGTAGTTTTCTAGCTTGCATCTTGTGTTGTCAGTTTGCAGTTCAGACTCTCTGTTCATCCCAGAAAACGAAACGAGTTACGGTTGTGGTGTTGCCATCTTTTTTTAAAATTGTTAATATAAACGTGATGTGCAGAGGGTTACAGCTACATAAGTTAGGTAAAGAGTACATTTCATTGCTTTTTCTTTTTGTGTGTGCTAGTGTGGGGCTTGAACTCAGGGCCTGGGCTCTGTCCTTGAATTTCTTTTTTTTTTTGTCTTTTTCTTTTTTGGTACTGGGGATCGAACCCAGGACGTTGCATTTGCTAGGCAAGCGCTTTGCCACTGAGCTACATCCCAGCCCTGTCCTTGAATTTCTTTTGCTCAAGGCTAGCTCTCTACCACCTGAGCCATAGCACCACTTCTGGCTTTTGCTGTGTAGGTGGTACCTAGGAATCGAACCCAGGGCCTCATGGATGCTAGGCGAGCATTCTACCACTGAGCCACTTTGCCAGTAAGAGTACATTTCATCTTGAACAGCGTCACCCCTTCCCTTGCTCCCAGTTTTTCCCCCTCTCATCTCCACACACAAGTTGTGTAGTTCTTTTTCTCCATAAGGAGACCCACGGCTGAGTGTCTTCACTCGATGCTTCCTGCCTTGTCCATCTGCACCGTCTTCACTCGATGCTTCCTGCCTTGTCTCGTCTCCCATTAAGTCATCGGTGTTATTTCTCAGCTACCCGGAGCTGAAGCCGGTGCAGTCCATCAACGCCCACCCTTCCAACTGCATCTGCATCAAGTTCGACCCCACGGGCCGGTACTTCGCCACGGGCAGCGCGGACGCCCTGGTGAGCCTCTGGGACGTGGACGAGCTGGTGTGCGTGCGCTGCTTCTCCAGGTGAGGGCCGGTGTGGGCCTTTCCCTCTCCTCCCGCCGCCCTGACGCGGGGTCCTGACGCCCCTCCCTCGGGTTTCAGGCTGGACTGGCCCGTGAGGACCCTGAGTTTCAGCCACGATGGGAAGATGCTGGCGTCGGCGTCCGAGGACCATTTCATCGACATAGCCGAGGTCGAGACGGGTATGTGGGTGACCTCCCTCCCTTCATCCTGGCTCTGGGCCTCGGGGCTCTGAGTCTCACTGCCTCGCCCAGGGGCTGACCCAGGGCCGGGTAAGGTGAGAGCGGGGGTCAGGAAAGAGTCACTAAGATTTACTTCGTTCTTCTGCTACCAAGAGATGTTTAAATGGAGACAAGGGAAAGGAAAGCTACTTTCAGCCATTTAAACGTTTTGTTTTGTTTTGTCGGTCTTGGGGCTTGAACTCTGGGCCTGGGTGCTGTCCCTCAGCTCTTCAGCTCAAGGCTAGCGCTCTACCACTTGAGCCACAGCGCCACTTCTGGTTTTCTGGTGGTTCATTGGAGATAAGAGTCTCATGGACTTTCCTGCCCAGGCTGGCTTTGAACTGCGATCCTCAGATCACAGCCTCCTGAGTAGCTAGGATTATAGGTGAGAGCGGCTAGCGCCCAGCTCATCTAAACATTTCAAGTCCTTTACTGGGCATGGTGGCTCATCTGTAATCCTAGTTACTCAGGAAGTGGACATTGGGAAGACGGAAGTTCAAAGCCAGTCTGGACAAAAGTTCTAGAGACCCCATATCAACCCTTAAGCTGGGCATGCTCCCGTGTGCCTGTCATCCCAGCTATGGAGAAAGTGTAAATAGGATTGCAGTCAAGGCTGGCTCAGGCAAAAAAAAAAAATAAAAATAAAAGCAAAGCAGGCTGAAAGCGTGCTCATGTGGTAGAATGCTTTCCAGCAAGCACAAGGTTCCCGAGTGCAATCTCCAGAGCCACCCAAAGCCAAAATCAAATCTTTCTGTCCAAAAAACATGTTACCAAGATTTTTGCTTTTAAGTTGGGCACTGGTGGCTCAAGTCTGTAATCCCAGCTACTCAGCTTTTGTTCAAAAACAAGAAAAGTTGAAAAACCAGGTGCTGATGGCTCCCGCCTGTCATCCTAGCTCCTCAGGAGGCTGAGATCTGAGGATCACAGTTTGAAGCCAGCCAGGGCTGAAAAGTCTGCAAGACTCTTAATCTATAATTAGTAAAAAAGCCAGAAGTAGAGGTGTGGCTCAAGTGGTCAAGGGCCAGCCTGGAGGAAGAAAAACAGCAAGAAAAAAAGCCTCAGGGTGAGCATTCAGGCCTGGCACCCAAACCAACAAAGCAAGGGAGGTTGAACATGGAGGAGGGAGGGGAAGGGAGGTTTCTGGGCTGGGCCGGTGATGGACGGTGGCCACTCGAGCCGTGGTGCTTGCTCTTAACAGGGACTTGTTTCCTCCTCTGCCATTGCTTTCTCTAGGGGACAAGCTCTGGGAGGTGCAGTGTGAGTCCCCAACCTTCACTGTGGCCTGGCACCCCAAAAGGCCCCTGCTGGCATTTGCCTGCGACGACAAAGATGGCAAGTACGACAGCAGCCGGGAGGCCGGGACGGTGAAGCTGTTCGGGCTCCCTAATGACTCCTGAGGCCGCCTGGCGGAGAGAGGCCCAGGGGGGAGAAGCCTGGGGAGAGGCCCGGGGAGAGAGGCCCCGGGAGAGAGGCCCGGCCCTGGCTCCGTAGTTGATCTGTTCTCTGGGACTTGCTGACCACCCCCAGTACCTGTAACTTGGTACAGATCACACGTGTCTGTGTCAGGCTCTCAGGGTGCCTGGGCAGTTCCCTCTCTGCCCCTCCTGTGCTAGAACCCAGGACCCAGGGCATGCTGGGCAGGCCCTGTTACCACGGAGCTGCATCTCCGCCCCTTCCTGTGTGCTTCTGTGGGCCCGTTCTGTCTTCATTCCCACACCAGGGGGCTCTGTACTGTGCTCAGTGGCTGGGGCAGTGTGGTCCCTCCCCACTCCCCTCTTCCCACCTCCTCCTCCCTCCTTGCCTCTCCTCCTCCCTCCTCCTCCGCCCTCCTCTACTTTTTACATGTGGTAGACTTTATTAGGCTTGAGGCTTGTGCAGCGCCAGCTTGTGGGCGGTCGGGATGGAGGTTTATTACTATTTTTCTATTTCAAATAATTTTAAAAGATTTGTAATTTTGAGACAAGCGTTTAATAAAACTGGTTTGTGTTTTTTTTTTAACTCTTGAGACTTTTAAAATGATGGTGTTCCTTTTCCTATTTTGCTCTCACGCTAAGGAGGTATTGCAGCTTAAATTTTTTTCTTTTTTAAGTCCCGAGTATGTGTGTTTCTATGTGTGTCTGTCTGTATTTATTTATTTTGGGCCGGTACTAGAGGTTGAAGTCAGGGCCTGGGCGCTGTCCCTGAGGTTTTTGTTTTTGTTTTGTTTTTTTCTCAAGGCTAGCGCTCTATCACTTGAGCCACAGCTCTATTTCTGGCTTTTTGGTGGAAATAAGAATCTTAACAGACTCTCCTACCAGGCTGGTTTCAAAGCAGGATCTTTAGATCTCAGCCCCCCTGATTAGCTGGGGTGACAGGCGTGAGCCACCA